CAGCTCCGCCTTCTTCATTCCTGCACCTGCAATCGTTGTGTCAGGCTTTGAATACAAATGCCTTATCGTCACAGTTGCCACTGTCGTCCGACACCACACGGGTCACAACCCAACAAAATCACGCATATACACACATAGCCATTATACTTCGGTTGCATCGTGCTCAGAAAGAGCAGCTGTTGTTTAGGGAACGTTCTCATCATCCCCCTTCATTCATTAACTCGGCGTAAAGACTTGCCACGTAGTTCTGCTCCCCATTCAGCACCATTTCATTAATTAGGTCTGCGGAATTAGTACAAGTCATTGGCATGTTCTCTACCATGTTCTGACGCACATTGTTATTAGCAGATCTGGCATTTTCCGTTGTGTTTGCCGCACTGCTTTCATACGCATCATCTGAAGGAGCCGAATTCCTTTCCATCACCTCTTACATATTTGTGGGGTCAATGTGCCGCTCCACTGCTTTGCTGGGCTGCTCAGCAACAGGCACCTGGACAGCACCATCGTCTTGGGGAGGAGCAGGCGTGAGTGGTGGTGTGTGCGGGGAAGTACCAACAGAAACAGTTGTCAGGGGATTTGATTCCCTCTGCACAGAGTGTGGCAGCGTCGGCGAGGGATGTGTACCAGAGTCCAGTGACACCCTTCTGCTCTTCCTTCGCTGAAGCAACACATACAGCACAGCGAAAGCCAGAGCAGTTAAAAAAGCGATGCATCCAATGACAATCCCGAGGATTTCTACACTAGAGAGTCTTCTGGCCGGTCCACCGTAGCACTCCGACACATAGTCGGACAAATCATGCATCTGTGTGTAGGTGCGTCCTCCGATTGTCACGTTGGCTGCGATGAAGCAGAACTTCACATCCTTCACACGCATTCCCCTGCTGGCGAGATTCATCAACACAGACGATGACCACGTGAGCGTACTGTCCTCGCACACACGAGGCCCAGCAGACACGGAATCACACGTGTCACTCTGCGGCACGGCGCACACCGTGTACAGCTCTCTGCGCCACTCGAGGTCACCGCCGCTGACATCAATCTTAGCAGTGTTCTTGTCCGTGTCAGCAGTTATCTTGAAGGCAAAGGGTTTCTCCAGCACCGTCACCGGCAGCGCAGCGGGAGCAGTGTGCTCTCTATCACTATCATCGACACACACAGCATACACGCCAGGTGCTGCGAAGAGCACACGTCCGTCGTTCAGGTACACCCGCGGCGAGACGGAGGTGTTCACACACGCATCAAGGCGCACCACATCTTCCCCACTGCCAGTAATCACACGGGGGCAGTCGTTGCCAGGGCACCGCACCAGGAACACACGCCCCAACACACTGACCACAGATTCCGCTTCCTGCAGCACGACACTTCTGTCTTTACCAGCTGTCAAGTACAGCGGCGTGGCCATCAACATCTGCACCTCAAGAGATTCTACACCCCACGGAAGGTATTGGTCATTCCAGTCATTTGACGTCAGACAGAGCCAGTATTCTCCTGGAGGGGGAAGATGAGCGGGTGGCAGCATTCTGTAGCACCCAACAGCGTCAGTGCAGGTTGTAGTGGTGTACCGGCAGTCATTGAAAGAGCGGACCAGCATGTAGTCGGAAGCCATGGTGCCGCTCGGGAGGTTGGGCGCCCACGATGCACCCATACCGTAATACGGATTGGGCGAACTGAAACCTGTCTTGGTCCCACGAATGTCCATTAAGTTTATGCTCTTATTGGTAGTCAGCGGAATATATAATGCCTCCATGTCAGAAAATGATGTGACGACCAATTCCCATCGTCCTAAAACCTCCCACACTAAAGGCACGAATGTAACTGTATTGGTTCCCTCGACAAGAGTTGCCGGCCAGCCAGGGATGAGGCCTATTGGGGTGTAGTACGAGGCGGAGAGGTTCAAGCCAACCAGTGTTTCGGCATTGCCAACTTCGCAGGTGTAAGTGATGTTGGAAGGATTGAGTACAATGCTGGGAAAGCAGTTCGTGAGTTGCACCAAGGAATCGTTTGCAGCTGCAGGTGTGGCCATTCTCGTTCGGGGGACCATGCCACCAGCAGCAGCAGCAGCACAGCGAAGAAACGGTTCAATCACAACCATCAGTACCAGAAGCAGCGCCTGGATGTCGCTCAGCTGCAGTCCCATAGATGGCAGCAACTTCACCTTCCTTCTGCATTGACGCAGGATTGAAGCAGGTTCAGAGAGCCCCATATCGCTGAGACTGCAGCTGCTAATGCTCTTTGGTATATTGGAACACCGTGGATGTGTCAACTGCAATTTTCCTGTCGTGTGCCTCATGTTGATCGATTGCATTAATAGATAATAGTTCTACTAGCAGCCGGTTGTCTTGGTTCAGCAAAAACAGAAGCGAAACGCAACGAATAGCGTGCAGAGCACAGGCAATCAGTAACAGAAGAACTAGTACAGCTGACACTTCTCCATGATTCTTCGCTCAGCGTATATATATATATATATATACGCTTCTGCAATTGGGGTTTCCACTCGCATCCCAGTAAAGAAACATCACTTGTGCTTCCTGATGAGATCACTGTGTTTTACCAGTACGTTTTTGTACACACTGCATTAGGGCTTCTCACCCCCCTGCACCTCAGTACAACCACTACGCTGCTGCCCCTATGCACTTCACACCAGCAATCCCCTCGATGTCTATTGCATCACTCCAAGAGGACCCTCAGGTGACCAAAGGCAGAGAAACGGATAATGTTGCCCACATCCATCGTGAAATTACCGTGAGTCCAATCGTCTCCCTAAGCACGGCACCACGCAGCCAAAAAAAAAAAACAGTCTTCAAAAAGGATGTTGTTCGTGGCGCATTCAGAATATCTGCCGTCATACCCCACACATCGTGTGCGACCTTTTCAACGGCAGTACAACAACAGCCGCAAGAAAGCCCTTCAAACACCCGTACCGCCGCCTACCGTATGGAACAAAATCACATCCCTGCGGCAGAAAGAGGATGTTCTTAACGCAATGCGTGGTAAGCACGGGTGGCGAGAACAGCACCTCCGAAAAGGGGCAGAACACTGCAGCTGGTAGGCGCTGAGTCCACGCATACTTCACCACTTCGAAGCTTTCTGCCCCGCAAACACATGTTGCCTCACCAGCGATGGCACTGCATCGGGTTCTAAACGGGCAAGAAACCAACAGCTCGACATCATTTTCTTGTAAGGAAAAAATCTTAGAAGCTCATGAGGCGCCATCCCTTTCGAAGTTTTGGTGTTTTTGCTTCCTTCAAAACATGTGCGTGGGTTACGGTGTACCAAACAAGGCGCGGTGGGTACCGGCGGCAGCGCTGATGCATCCGCTGCAGCACGTCGTAACCGTCAAGGACTTGACCCAGGGCAGCACGCCTTGGCTCATGAGTTGAGTCCGTCACTTTTATCATGAACTCAGACCCCACCCGAGAGTCCCTAGCCACAGCATACACCAAACCTTTGCGACTATCGGCGCCCCCATTCTCCTTGTTGGGTGACTCGAAAAAATACTGGCCATAAATGGACCAGCCACCCGGCGCGCTGCCAAACGTTACATCACCTCCCTTAACGAAGTCAGCATCAGCGGTGAAAAGAGTTCTGCTGTAGCAGAGACTGTGTCCGGTTCCAGAACTCCCTTGACCACCTCGGCACAATTCGCGAAAGTTTGTTGCTGACACGGGTAACACATTGTCAAACAGCTCAATGGTTATCCGTCCGTAGTTGCTGCTGTAGGCGCCGAAAAGAACGGAACGGTGTTGGGTGATGTCCAGGGCGACCACCGAGTTTTGAGAATTCTGTGCAAACGGAGAGACGTAGGCGCACGACTCTAGCAAGGCCACACCGCTGAAGCAGGCATTGAGCATCACGCCTGCGCCGGCACCGAGCAGGAAGGGCAGCATAGCCGATCCTCGCTAAACCTCATCTCTGGTTACGCGAGAAAAAAAGAAGCAAGAGTTCTCCCCCCCCCNAAAAAAAAAAAAAATGCAGCCGTGGAATCTTTTCGCAAAAACAAAAATCAACGGAAACACTCATTCGGGATTTCCCACTTAAAAGGAGCTACACCCTGTGAACCACCCTGAGACCCTCCTATTACTATACAGGGTTTTAAAAAAATTATGTGAAAATAGTGTGAATCGTTTTCTTTTGTATCACATCTTCTAGCCGAACGCCAATCACTTCTTCATGCAATGCTCCATAAAGTACTTAAAGGCGGTGTCAAAGGAGTCGAACACCTTCGTTCCATCGAAGAGCATGAGGTTGAAGGGGAGGTCAAAGTCCTCCACCTTCAACCCGGTGGCATCAGTGCGGCCACCGTATTTCTCGGTCATCGGTCGGCGGTCAGAAGCAAATGTGAGGACTGTCTTTCCCAAAGCGGAGGCGTAACCAACCTCGAACGCCGTGCCACAGTCAGGCTCCTTTGAGCGAAATGGTGATAGATCCGCAATTACGGCGTCGCAGTCCTTAATCATAAGAATGTTCTTCTCTCGAATCTCAATAGCCCCATTAGCCACGTTGTCAACAGGGATAAGGGGCTTCACGTTGTGGACCTCGAGAAGCTTGCGGACATGGTTAAAGTAGGCCTCACCCATGTCTGGGTTGAACACTGCCGGACCGGCGATATAGATCTTCTTCATGCCTGTCATAATGTTATGTAAACTGCTGTCTCAATTGTCTGGTATGATTGCAGAATGGGAAAGCAAGACGGAGGAGTCATATGGTAGGCATCACAGCAAAGGCACCAGAATTCGCACATCACATCACACGCAAAGGATACACTGAGTTTACAATAGAAACTGTGAAGAGTTGTAAAAGTACCGTCTGTGCACAATGTGACGGCGTTGGGGTAGGCCCGTGAGGAGAGTGTTGTCGTCGCAGGACAGCCAAATTTGATGTGTGTTGGCTGCTACGCCCTCCAGCCGACGATTGGGTGCTACTGCTCCACCCGCTTTGACCCTCATATCCTCGCTGAGGTTCATTTGACGCCATGTCAGCCAGCGTCCCTTGAAAAAAATAACTGGCCTGTTCAGCGAGCGCAAAAGCGCCCACCGAGGAGCCGCATGCAGAATCTCCTTTTGTTTTTCGCTGTTTATTTGGTGGATGTGAACCAAATCTACGGGCTCCAAGTCAAACACCTGGTGCGGCTCCTCTCCTTTCTTGAGAGTGATTCCATCCAGGTGAAGCATCTCGTCAGCGGGGACCCAGCTAAGCGAGGTGTACCCGAACTGCGACCACAGCGTCGAGAGTGCGCTGGCAAGAATGTGGGGAAAGGGTGCACCTGTAATGTAGTGCGTGTGATGAAGGGTGTCATCAACCAGAAATGGATTAGACGTTTCTTGCGCGTTGAAAAGAAATACTGTGCGTGACGGGGACGATGGAAGTGCCACACCCGCGTCCACCAGCAGCGCCTGTGGGCTTGTCTCCTCCATGGGGGAAAACAGAGAGGCTTGAAAGTACTGCTTCAGCGTCGCAGCACTCCACACAACCGTCGAGGAATCAGAGCTGGCATGTTTCAGGAGCAGCCACCTACTCCCACTACTGGCTGGGGGTGGCTGCATACTTAACAGAGCCTTCCTCTCGTTTGGGGAGTACTCGGCAAGGGAGAAGATGGTGCGCTTTTCAAGACTTTCTACTGTTATAGGTACTCCTCCGTGGCACTGGAGGCGGTAGTGGTTAACCGCCTGTGCCTTTGAGAGCCACAACGTACTTTGGGCATGAATACTCACCTGATGTTTGTGAAGCGTCTGTTGAACTTCTGTGGATTTTATGCGGCGTCTTGTCAACGCCCACTGCATTCATTCTTGGAAGTGCAAAGAAAAACAAAACACGTCATCCCTGCATGGGAAACAAGTATGACAGCTGTTGAACAAAGGGCATTGGGAGGGGGGAGCCTGTGGAGGGTAAGTCTTCACGGACCAACGGTAAGTAGTTTCAAAAGGGACTCTTCTCGTTTGTTGTACGACCGCAAGATAACGTCGATGTTACCTTGAAGGTCAGGCCGCCGCATTAAAACAAGTGCCGCAGCCCTGCTTCGCAAGAGCTTGCTGTACGGGCTTCCGTGCTCCGTCCACTGTGGGTTACGCAGACGCAGGCGCGGGCAGATACTAGACAGCTCGGACAGATGACATGTAGTGGTGTCCGTAGACGGTAACCACTCCGGCTTCTCGCGCTGGCTAAGGCAAACCAATGAAGAGTAGTAATATTGGCAGTGCGGAGCGTCGCAGTTACCAGACAGTACGACCTCGAGCCACGTGTGGGGCGAGCGCGTTGTGATGCCAAGAGACTTGAGTGTTACCGACTCCAAGTACTCCACCTCACGTCCCTCGTGCAAAGAGCAGATGACGGGTGTGGCGGGCGCCAGG